TTAACTAACTAACTAACTAACTAACTAACTAACTAACTATATATATATATATATATATATAATATATATATATATATATATATATATATATATATATATATATATATATATACATATACATATACATATACATATACATATACATATACATATACTTATACATACATATACATATATATTTTCAAATACATACACATACACATATACATATACTCACCTCAAAGACTCGAGCATTTCGAGGGCCACTCTGCCGCCTTGTTGTAGCATGTGTACGTCGTGTCCCTGTGCTTCACCCACTCCCGTCAGTTGGAACAAGTACTGTACCAACCGACCCACCTGACGTGACTGTGGGTGGTGTCTGATGTTGTACAGAAGCTCTTGCGTGAACGTGCGTACCAACCTGTGTGTGTAAAAGTGAGTGTGTGATGAAAAGAAGAGGAGAGTTTGCACACATGTGTGTGTATGTGTGTGTAAGGGGTGTATGGGCTGGGTGATCGTTGTGCACATATCAAACCATCACTCATGTACCAGGTACAGCCCTGTTATCATGGATATGGTTGCTTGGTGACAGAGAAGTAGGTACAATGGTGTCAGGTGCTACATAGAGATAGTGAGGTGTATTTATCTTAGAAACCCAGACAGCATACACGGAACATGTGGTCGCTTGAACGATACCGGCCACACGCACACATTCACGAGGTGTGCGATATAAGAAGACGCACACCAGCCACCGCATGCCCACACTCAGCGAAGAAATGCATGCACAAAAAGACACGGCGTAGGTATATATAAATATATATATGTATGTGTGTGTGTGTTCGAGCAAGGATGTAGAGGACGCACATGCGCACTCGCTAGGCGTGACAGTATGTGCGTCTCTGCTGACGCTTGACACTGGCACTGTGGCCGTGTAAAAGTCCTGGGCTGGTTGGTGTCTGGCTCATATATATCTAGCTGTCTGCTAGTGCGTGTGTTGAGTGAGAAGACATAGACCATAACTACAATACATAGATGTATTATACTACATCTACTATGTACACTACAATACATAGATATATTATAATACATCTGCTATGTACACTACAATACATCGATGTATTATAATACATCTACCTTGTACACTACAATACATAGATGAACTATAATACATCTACTATGTACACTACAATACATAGATGCATTATAATACATCTACTATGTACACTACAATAGATAGATGTATTATACTACCTCTACTATGTACACAATAATACATAATATCATACACCTACTATGTAACGCACACACTCACCAGGTGTGCTGTGTGAGCAGAGACACTTCTTCGTCCACTGTCTGGTGGCTGGGGTCGATACTATGACTGATGTCGCAGTAGCACACCAGACACAGCGCCAGATGATCCGCCCGAGCGTCTGCAGAGGAGAGTGCGATGAATGGCGCGAGTGGCCTTGGTGGATGAGTGCACGGGCAAAAGCCTAGATAGGTGGTAGGTACGTGGCCCAAGCTAAACCATAAAAACTAAAGAGCTGGTAGGTACGTGGCCAAGGCTAAACCATGAAAACTAAAGAGCTGGTAGGTACGTGGCCAAGGCTAAACCATGAAAACTAAAGAGCTGGTAGGTACGTGGCCCAGGCTAAACCATGAAAACTAAAGAGCTGGTAGGTACGTGGCCCAGGCTAAACCATGAAAACTAAAGAGCTGGTAGGTACGTGGCCAAGGCTAAACCATTAAAATGTAGAGCTGGTAGGTTCGTGGCCAAGGCTAAACCATGAAAACTAAAGAGCTGGTAGGTACGTGGCCCAGGCTAAACCATGAAAACTAAAGAGCTGGTAGGTACGTGGCCAAGGCTAAACCATTAAAATGTAGAGCTGGTAGGTTCGTGGCCAAGACTAAATGATTGAAAATTACGAGCTGGTCGGTACGTGGCCCAGGCTAAACCATGAAAACTAAAGAGCTGGTAGGTACGTGGCCAAGGCTAAACCATTAAAATGTAGAGCTGGTAGGTTCGTGGCCAAGACTAAACGATTGAAAATTATGAGCTGGTAGGTACGTGGCCAAGGCTAAACCATAAAAAATTAAAGCTGGTAGGTACGTGACCAAGGCTAAACCATAAAAAAATTAAAGCTGATAGGTACGTGACCAAGGCTAAACCATTAAAATTTAAAGATGGTAGGTACGTGCACGTGACCAAGGCTTAACCATTAAAACTTAGAGCTGGGTGTGTCTATATATCACGCCAAGCTAATCTATCAGAAAAGCTGCCATTACAATACAGATACATCCCTAAACACACCAATACACTCGTATCTGCACAACCCCCCCCCCTCCATCCACCCAACCTAACACGTGCAGCCCAGCCCACCTGTTACATAGAACTTAGTGACTCCACTGCGGAATAGCTTGTTGTTCTGTGTGCCGATGTTGTGGCCACAATGGTAGCACTGGGTGCTGGCGTGGGTGTCGGTGTGCATGTGCGTGTCTGCGTAGATGTGTGTGGGGTAGTCGTCGTCGTTGTCCATGTGATCAGCGATACGCAACGGTCTATTCTGTGGCGGAGTCTGTGGAGGCGAAGTAAGTGCATGTAGCATGGTAGGGGTAGGATGGGTTAGATTGCAGTGTGTGGTGGGTATAGTAGTAAGTAAGTTTCATACTCGAGGTATATATATATATATATATATATATATATATATATATATATATATAATAATACTATATACTACTA